CCTCCTACAATAACTTTATCCCTCTTGTTTGTCTTTTTATTTTTATTTTATAAATTTATAGCAATCATGGAAAAGTTTAATCATTCAACAAAGCAAGGAGAGGAAAAAAAGAAGAAGAATTCTTATTTAAGTTTGAAAATCCTTTCCAAAACTCTTCACAGAAAAAATATATGGTACATTTTCATCTACGACTACTTAAAGTTGTCTGCGTTATTCATTTAGACACCTTAACTAGGACTAGTACCTATTAGACACTCTAATATTAATAAATATGTATGTATTGAACACAAAATGACAACTAGCTAAAAAAATAATGTGCGTGTAATTCACACGTTGTGTCTTGAAAAAGTCACAAATAGAACTACGACATGTGGCATGTGGGTCCAATCTAATCATTAAAAATAAATTTAAAATTTAAAAAGATGAAAAAAATTAATTTTCAACAATTAATAATTCAAAATGTTAATCAACTAAAAGATTAACCCTTTGGTCTTTCTTCTTCTTTCCCTGGCTCACGACTATCACCCATGTTATCGACTCCTCCGACAAGATTCATTTTTTCCTTATTATAAACTATGGGATTAAGATAAATATAAATAGTGAAATAAGTTGTGACATATGTATAGCTTAGCGGAACGACTATTGAGATATTTGTTGAAAATAAATCGATGTCCTTGAACGATGGCGAAGAGAAATTGAGAGTACTCAAGTAAATTCTATTAGAATTCTCGAATATCATTTTAATAAATTCAATGGGTTTACATTTTAATTTGAGTGGTGATGTTTGATCGAAATGATCGAAAATAGAAACTGACGGACGTCGGTCAACTTTTTAACTCCAAATCGAAATCTTCTTTCTTCTTACAAATTTTGCCCAGTAGATTCGATTTTTTTAATATAATGAATGAAAACAAAACAAAAAAATAATACAAAAGATTGAGAACTGAAAATGGAGGATGAAGATGGAGAAAAGAAGTGCAGAAGTATGAACAAAAAAAAATGGGGAAAAAGACTGACTAAATGACTTTCTTTTGCTAGTTAAGAATTTTTTTTAAATACAAAAAATAGTTATTATTCAATGCCAAATGTCAATAAAAGAAAAAAAGGTACAAGATTTTTAATAAGAAAAATAAAAAATAGTTATTTGGATCTAGTCACGCGCTTAATATTCGTGAGATCCATATTTTTTGCCACATCTGCATTTTGTGCTTAATAGGTATATATTTTAAATATTTTAGGTGTTCAATTAGTACTATTCCTCGTTGAGGTGTCTAAGTGAATTATGCAAACAAGTTTAAGGGGTCGTCGATGACGTAAACCTATATTTTTTCTATTTATTCAAACGCTTTCAACAAGTTTTTCTACATCTTTCTTGGATAAATATTTGCAATTATATAAAACCAATGTTACCTATATTATGTTAAAATTGTGTTGTTACGTCAAATTTACTGGTAATATAGTTCTAAAACCTATATCTAATAACATGTTTGTACGTAAAAGGGACAAAAATAATTATGTTTTATGGTTAATTTAAGATTAAGTGTAATGAATCATATATTAATTAAAAGGATTGAAATCAAATTATACCAATAACTAGAGAAAAAATGTTATATATTATCTCTATAATTTAAGAAATTTATTAAACACTTGCCAAAAAGTGTTAATTTTCCTTAATAATTTCTCCTAATCATTCTTTTACATTTTGATATTTCAAAAGGATATTTGGAGGAAAAAGAAAGAGAGAAGTAAGATATACCATGGAAGAAACTACAATTATAGCAACTATCACCTCAACAACAATATTGTTCTTGTTCATGATCAATATAAATGTCTTAAATGTCGCAGTAGGATTGCCAGACGAAAAAATTACTGTCATACCAAACAATCATATAAATTATCTTAGTGTCCGTTGTTTCTCATTCCATAAAGATGGTGATGACCATAGTATTTGATTATTTAAAAAAAATAAAAATTGGATGTGCTATTTTATAAATATAGTTTATATCGATCCTCAATTTCTAAAAAGTAGCAAAATTAACCAACATAACTTTTACAACTCAACTATAATACAAAAGTAAATAACATTACAATTAAACATTGAAAATAACCACAAGCAGTCATGTTTTCGTTTCTTATAACATAACCAATAAACTACAATTTTCACTATTCAACATACTTGCTATGTATAAATAGCATATTACAAAGATTTATTAGTGAATAAATTAAATAAATCTAGTAAATAAATATTCTTTAATAAAAAATTTCGTATTGAGGGAACAATTTCTTCTCGTCAAACATTTAGTTTTTGATTAGCTACCTAAAAAGACGAGGGATCATTTCTTGAATGTCTGTAGTTGGTATTTTTAAAATTTGGTTGGTGGATAAAATAATGGGTACTTTTTTATATATAAAAATGAAAAATTGGGATGATATTTTAAAAATAAAATAATAGTAAAAAGAGAAAATTCATCTTAAATATTCTGAAATAAGATAACTAACATTCTAGCATCTGTATCTTGCTTTACAGAAAAGGCTATTCTTATTTTTCATAGTTATTGGTGTGATTGGTAAATTTTAATTATTTTTATCTATCAATCTATCGTTATTGTTAATTGTAATTATTATTTATGTGGCCATTTTTTAATTTAAATGATATTTTATATATTTTAAAAATACTATTATTTTAAATTTTCTATTTTTTCTTGATGATATGTGCTTATAATAACAAAAATATTATATTACATTTAACATTATAAAAAATTAATATTTCTTTATTGTTAAAATTTAATATTCAATGAAACATCACAAATTTCTACACAATATATAGGTTCAATTTTTAATGTCAGGCAGTGAAAATTGAATTATTGTATCAGAAGTTGATTGGGGCGCTTAGTCAAAATGAATCATATTTTGACTATTACCTTTTTCATTACTATGTTTTCATGCACAGAAATACCATTAAAATGTATTGTATATAGAACGATTTTCAAAAGAGTATTTAATGTCTATTTTTAATTATTGATTATCGAATTATCAAAATTAAATTTTAGAAATATCAAACTTTCATCTCTAATGAATTATTTACCATATATATGAGTAACATCAACGAGTCATTTGGATGTCTTAATTGATCTATGACACCAAATTTATAATGTTATGGCTTGAAAGTGGAGATCTAACCTATACTGAGGTTTCTTTAAAAATTAACATGTCAAATACTAAATCAATTATGAACATGAAAAAGTCATAGAATCCCTCTCTGCCCTCCTTCCTCCCATCCACCCGAGTAGAGATCTTCTTCACCAAAACACTTTTTCTCCTCTTGGATTCTTCCTCTTCTACCGTAACTTATCTCTCACTCTTTTAAACCACTTTTTTCTTTGTTCCATCATTAATAAATCAAATTGAAGGAGAAAAGATAAATCTGAAGAGAAAAACAAGGAATAGTAAGATAATTATGAATTATAAAGATGTTGGTTGTGGAGTGTTGATAGACGATGATTATATCATTAGTGTTGGTAAAGCAAACGAATACTTCTAGATCTGTAAAATTACTAAAATTCTTCAAACTTTTTCTGATAATTATGGATGCCACTCAATAATTTATTTGATATACTTTGTGTGTAATGAATAATCAAATATATTATTGATGACTTGAGACTGAAATGATATTGTGATGGTTGAGATGTTTCTACGACAAAATAGAGAAAACAAAGAGAAGTAATCATTTTTCTAGATGAATTTTCGATAAGTTTTAAGAAAATAATCATAATTTTTATGCATATATATCATAGTATTTTCAATCGAAGTCATCATATACCTCATGATTTTTCGAATGATTTTCTTCAAGTAGATTCTCAAATGAATTTGCTGAAAATAATCAATGATGATAATGAATTGATGAAAAAGAACACAGAAAGAAGAATAATAAAAGAAGTTTCAAAAAAAAGTGGAGTCCATAACTTATTAAAAAATAAGAAAGAGAATTAGCATAATTAATATATTAAAAATTATTTATACTAAAAATACCTAATTATTTAATGATCAATAAAATAGTGTCAGGTTTATAATTTTATTACTCCCTCCGTCCCATTTTATGTGGCTACATTTGATCGGGCACGGAGTTTAAGAAATAAATGAAGACTTTGAAATGTTTACTAAATTGCCCCTTCAAAAATAGTCATATTAAAAAATAGACTCACTTTTCTCTCTCTTCATAAATGTATTGGAATACTATCTTTAAAATTAAGTGGGACCAACAAGGGTAAAAGAGGAATTGTACCTTTAAATACTTACAATATAAGGAAATATGACATTTTTTTTAACTAACCAAAAAGGAAATTGTGCCACATAAAATGGGACGGAGGGAGTATTTTTTTTCTTCTTCTTACACGCTTAAAAGTAAGTGAAGACACTTTATTTGCCATGTCAACTTCCAAGATAATATTAATATTACCTTAAACAAGATTATGTATGTAATAAATTGGCATAATAATTTGAGTATTTAAGTTATTTGATTTTTGGGGACAAATTTAGGATGAATTCTATGCCTTTTCCCTTATGGACATATTTTGTTACAATATCTTTTTTTTAATACGTAATTATTGAATTTTCATATCAAAATATATCCTATTAAAGTTTATTTATGTATCAGATGAACTTTAAAAATTCAGTGCATAATGTCTATTTTAGAAATATTGAATCATATATCGAATGTTCGGAAGCATTTGACAATACTTTTCACCTATTTTCGGTGTCAATTCCACAAAACAAGTTTGGTAACAAAATTCAAAATTTAACTTCACTTGAATTTTAGAATTTTCAAAAATTTGAAAAACAATAACAACCCAAAAGAAAAAAAATTTAAGTTGAAAAATGATTTTTAAAAGAAAAAAAAAACTAGCCGACTTGCATCAATTCTTTTATAAAATAAAAAATAAAAAATAAAAATAAAATTGGCATTAGTATCTGTATTTAAACCTTGGATTAGATTGAAGGGTGGAATTGTTCGGCAGCTAAAACACAGAAGAAGAAGAAAGGAGAAACAAAGATTGAATTTGGGGAAACTTGATAAATCTTGAAAAAATGTCGGTTCGTTTGATGAAGAAAATCTTGAAGGAACAAGAACCACCTGAGACTCAACAACTAATCAATAGCGAAGATGAATCTGAATCTCCTCCTCCTTCTTCCGGTACTTTCCGTAATCCCTTCGATCTGCTTGACGACGAAGATGATGATGATGGTGGTGTTGACCAGGTTTGTGTTGTTACTATCGAAAAAAAGAAGCTTTTTATTTGATAGTTATGTCATTTTGGTTAAATCATATTGTTTGATTTTATTTCCTAGAAAATTGATTTCAGTTTGCGAATGAACAAAACCCTGATAATTTTAGGGTAGATTAAGGTAGTAAGTTAACTACAGATCACTTCAAATGTCATTCTTGGAATATGATGGAACATGAATACTTGAAAAGGTGTAAAGCGAACAGCTTTAATCAAATTGAACAAATTCGTGAAATCTGTGTTGGGAGATGACTGCAAAGGGGTGTTCCAGTTCAGTGAAGATTGGGGCAACTGCTTGAAATTCGGATTCAAATCGAGTAGCAGCCAGGGCCTGGCGGTTGATGAAGTGGCTGAAAACTTTGGAGATCATGTTAAATCCTAGCACACGAAAAAAAATTCTAGGTGTTTTTTTTCTTCTGCCCAAGGATAGAGTTATCCAATACATATGTTGGTAGGAGGGTAACAGGTGATGTGAACAACCAACATTATTAAAAAAAAAAAGAAGAGAGAATGAATGTGTGAGAATTGGGTATTTACCCTTAAAAAGGTTGTTTGACAATTCTAATTGGTGTATACACATTAGTAGTTTTTGATGTATAAGATTCCTTTTCAGTAAGGAGGGTGAATAAACAAGAACATGGTATAACCTGAAGATGCTTCTGAAGTTTGTGGATTAGCTTTAGAAAAAAAAGGGCTTTTGATTTGATCAGCCATGCAATTCTATTCTTGATTGATTTTATAGAATTGCTTCAAGTGACTATTCCTTCCTTTTTCTCCCTTGTTTTTTGTGACCACATATATCACAAATATAAAGCTGAAAGCACCAAGAAAAAGTTTGCGATGAACAGAATCCAACCTTAGATATATGGTTAAGGCATTAAGCTATAGACCACTTCGAATTTGTTATCTAGATGTGAACAAACTAGGTGAGCAAATGGATGTGATTGGATTCCTGAATTATGTGTGTTGAAAAATGGATTCGGAGCGCCACTCCATGAAGATGGAATTAAGTTGCTTAAGATTGTGATTCAAGTGAGGAAGATGAATATATTTGAATGGTTATGCCCTTAAAATGTTGTTTGACAATTCTAAATGGTGTATTCACATTAGTTGTTTTTGATATATAAGAACCCTATTTAGGTAAAGAAGATGAATAGATGAATATACCCATTTCCGATTGTGATCTACTCTGAGGTCACTCTACAAATATTACCAAGGCCATTCAGATTATATAATGAGCTATTGCATAAAAAGGACTTCAAGGAGATAGTGCAAAATAGCTGGAACCAATCCATAAATGGTCACACCATGTATAGTGTCTGGAGTAAATTGAAGTTAATTGAACAACAAGCCAGACATGAACAGGGAAATGACTCAGCTGGACAGGAAGGTTGAAACATTGCACGACCAACTTGCAATAGTTTAGGCACAATTACAGAATGATCTATTCAACCTTGAGCTAATTAGCAAGGAGAGAACATTGTTAGTAAAACTTTAAGAATGGTCAATTATTCAGGTAAAGGGTTTTATGACAGAGATCTAGAGATCCTTGAATATCCAATGGAGATTCAAACACAGTTTTTCATGCGTTCATGAAGGCAAGACAAGCTAGAAAGAAGGTGGCCAGTATTAGCACTGAAGCTGGGGACCTACTAACTGAACAGACACAGATACAACAAGAGTTCCTACTGTTCTTCAAGAACCTGTTGGGAATACAAGCAGCTGAAATGGCCAGTCTCGATATCAACATTGCCGGAGATGGACCATGCCTTACACAAGATCAACAAATGAAACTAATGAAGGAGATCACCAGGGAGGAGGTATTATTAGCTCTTAAAAAGCTACCCTTGGACAAAGTCCCAGGCATTGATGGGTTTCTAGCTGAATTCTTTAAAACATCCTGGGGACAATAGGTGAGGAGGTGCTATAAGCAATCCTTTGAAAATGGAAAATTGTTGTCTGCTATGAATTGTACCACAGTGACTCTCGTTCCCAAAGTACCATACCCCACTTATGTTAAAGAGTTCTGACCCATAGCATGTTGTATGACTGTCTATAAATTGATAGCTAGGGTCCTTATCTCCAGACTCAAAATAGTGGTAGATTATCTGGTAGGGTCCTCACGATCTACATTTATTGAGGGGAGGAGTATACTTGACAATGTGATTATAGCTCATGAACTAGTCAAAGGTTACTCTAGAAAGGGAGTCTCTCCAAGATGTATAGTAAAAGTGGATATAAGGAAAGCTTATGACTCTGTGGACTCGGGATTTCTGAGAATGGTGTTGATTGAATTTGGCTTCCCTGGTAAATTTGTGAAATAGATAATGGAATGTGTAACTATTGTCCAGTATGCATTGATTATCAATGCTGGGATGGCTCCTAAGTTCCAAGCAAAAAGGGACTAAGAGGGTGTTTGGATTGGTTTAAAAGTTGGTCAAACCTACTTTTAGGTCAGTTTTTTACTTCTTAAAGTGTTTGGTAAATATAAAAAATAACTTAAAATAAGTCAAAAATGACTTAAAATAAATTAGGAAGTGTTTGGCAAGGTTGAAAATAACTTAAAAACCAAAAGTAGGCCTCCCCCTACTTTTTATTTTTTGACTTAAGTCATTTAAGTTTGATTTTTTATTTTTGACTTAAAAGCTACTTTTTTTTAAGAGAATCCAAACGGGCGGGTGGCCCAATGTTTCCCTACATCTTTGTCCTAGCCATGGTGTACTTGAACAGATCCTTGAAGCAACTTAGACACAACCCAAATTTCATCTATTATCCCAGGCGTGAGAGACTTCAAATAGTGTATATCTATTTTGCTGATGATCTTTTAATGTGTTGCTGAGTCGATAAAAAATCTATACAGCTAATTATACAAGCTTTTCAACACTTCTCCCAAGTATCTGGACTACAAGAAAATCTAGAAAAAAGTTCAATATATCTGGCAGGAGTTTCTCGGAGCTTCAAGGATCAAATCATCAGTGATATGCTATTCTCAAAAGGGGAAATGCCTTATCAATATTTGGGGGTACCCCTCTCTTCCAAGAAGCTAGTTATTCAGCAGTGCATGCATATTATAGAAAAGATGATAGCGAGAATCAAGAATTGGACAACAAAATTCCCATCATACAGTGGAAGATTACATCTCATAGAGAGCGTCCTGTTTGAGATGCAGACATATTGGGCCCATTGAGTAGTTATCCTACCCATATAATTTTGTAATCTAGCCTAGTATAGGAAGAGGTAAGCTTTGAGGATTAGTTCTGGAGTTTAAAGAACTACAGTTTTGTAATTACACACTTGGTTGAATTAAAATGTTACTTTCGACCAAAAAAAGAATATACCCATTTTTTGTGACCGTGTTAACCACAAATATAAAGTTGCAAGTGCCAAGAATAAGTGTGCGAGTAAATATAACCCAACCCTAGATTTATGGTTAAGTAGGGCAATATGTAATTTTTTTGAATGTTATTAACAATTGTGGTAACCTCGCCTACAAGCCAAGCCATTAGCCATATACCAAAAAGAGTATCTACGCCATAATATGGTTCTCAGCAAAAGAGGTCCAATCCTCTAAACACATAGGGACCTCGAAGTACACCCAAAGGAAACTAGAGACAAAAAACTACTTCGCAAATTTTAAAAAGCTTGCTCCACTCCTTCAAAATCCCTCCTATTTCTCTCTTTCCAAAATAACCCACATGCTTGCTAAGGGGGCCACTCTCCATGCCCTTGGGCCTTTCCCTCTCGTATGAGATACGTAAGTTTTAGACTTCGAATCTTGTTAGTGAGAAATCAATGAAATTAGGGTAGAAAACAAAGGGATGTGAATAACTTCCTGAATTCTATGTGTTGAAATGAATTTGATGGGCCATCCCATGATGCTAGGAATTATGATGCTTAAGATTGCAATTCAAATAAGGAATATGAACATGTAAAGAACAGGGAATAACCTAAAAAGGTTGTTTGACAATTCATGGTACTTAATAGTTAGTTGTTTTGGGTATAAGATTCCTATTGAAGTGAGGAAGATGGATATATAAGAACATATGTATAACATGAAGTTGTTGACGGGGTTTGTGTATGAGTTTTAGGATAAAAAAGGTTTTGATTTGTGAGCCTTGTAAGTTCCATTCTTGATTTGTTTCATAGAACTTTTTTCACAATCTATTGATTTTTATTCGCCACCATAATTCCTTTCTTGATATTTAATTGAATTGCTTCCGACTATTGCCTTTGCCCTAGTGCCACTTTTTTTACTACATCAAGCAAAAGTAACTGCTAGTACCAAAATAAGTGTGTGAATGTAGATGCTAATTCATCATATTAGTAGTCGGTGCAATTTCGAGCATAGTATGTATGTACAAAAATTTAGAGACAGTCCAACCTTGATTATAGGGTCAATTATGTCGGTAGGATTCATATGGGAACAATAGAGAATAGCCTTAAAGTGATCAGTTGACAATTCTAAATTGGTGCATATGCATTAGTTTTTTCCTGATACCTTAAGTTGGGCTTTAGATGAAGTGGTGTGGCTTATGTAAATGTCCTGACATGAAGATAAGCTTTTGCTTTCTGTCTTGGCATACTGGAGGATGGGGATTAAAATTTAGGGACATTGAGATGAATGTCAAACACCTTGAAAGTGACAAGTTACAATCGAATGTTGGATTTAATGTCCAAGTGTCAACTATGACATATTAAGCATCTTTGCATGTACTGAGAATGGTGTAGAAAGCTTTAAAAGAACTTTTGAGTTTCACTTGTATATTTGGTGGAATAGAAACTATCATGATGTAAAGGCTAGGTCTGCGTACATGTCACCCTCCACAGTCCCCTACTTGTGGGATTGCACTAGGTATGTTATTGTTGATGTAGAGACTACCGTGATGTCTTGATGGTCAAGTTTGATGGAGAATTGTGTATAATTTGAGTTGTGTAGCATGCATTACTCAAACATATCTTTTGTCTCCAACTTGATGTTTAAGGATGACTTCTTCGTTTGTTTCCATCCCTATTCCTCAAAAAAGGTATTCAAAAGGAAATACTTGCTCAATTTATCCTTGAATTATTTCTCCGGTTCAAATGGCTTTCGTGCTTTTTCATCCTTTTTTTTTTTTGATGACAAGGGAAACCTGCAACCGCTACCCTTTGGGTGCGCACAGGTTAAAAACCCCGCTCATATGCAATAGCTCGCAAACAACATAGGAGAGGTAACCCGCACTAGGCAAGCCAAGTGCGACGAGCTCGACCCAGAAGGCAAACCCCATGCTTTTGCTGGCAAGGGGTTTCGAACTTGAGACCTCCAACAGGGCCACCCCGAAGGGTTCTTTTTCATTCTTTTTTCATTGCTCCCTTGTCATCAAAACCAAGTAATCTCACTACTCTGCTCTTTCCTCCTTCCACACTTTTGTTGAATAAGTAAAAAGGATAAATCCATGTCGTACATAAGAAAATGTAGATCATTGAGTTTGAGTTCATTTATCTTTTATTTACAACAACAACAATGTATGCAGTGTAATCCAACAAGTGGGATCTGAGAAAAGTAAGATGTGTACAAACCTTATCCCTACTTTTGTGGGGTAGATAGGATGTTTCCAATGGACCCTCAACTTAGAAGGGAAGTTAGTCATAGAAGGATTGCAAGAAAAAATGACAACAAAATAAGTTACCAGTTACAGGAAACTGATATTTATATTCCCAGAAGAGAAATAAGATTTGAAGATGTATGTTTTGCTTGATTGTTGCATCCTTCTGCATCATGCCATTCTTTCGCTGCTCGCTCTGTGAGATGTGTAACTGTTCTTACTTTTGGTGTGTGGTTTAGGGTGCATAAATTGAGGGGGGGATACCATGGTAAGTTGGTGTTATGTGTAGGCACGGAGTGGAGATAATAATCGTCTGGTCTTCACTGTAGACATAAGGACTATAGATTTGGTACAACTGGGTATGCTCTTAATTTTAGTAACCCTAGTTTTCCAAACTCTGCTCCCATCCCAATTTGACTATTTAAAAATCAAATCTATCAAAATTATAGACAGAAGCTAGCCTTTTTGAATTCTCTTCCTATTTTTTTTTTCTTCATGAATTCTTCTTGGTTGCGTTCTCTAGCACGGGAACGAGGTGCCAACCTCTTCATTTTCTTGAAAAGAAGGATTCCCCTTGGCTTTGAAATTCCTTTGCTCTCTTTAGAACATTAATATGTAGCTTCTTTTTCTGCTGAAACTCTAGTGCTATGATTTCCCTTCACTAAATTCGTTTAATTTTTTGCCGTACAAATATTTTAAGTTGACTTTGTAATCTGTAAAATGACCTTTTTTACATGAAAATTTCTTGCAAATAAATAAATAAATCCTTGTGCAGTTATACTTAGTTGACAGTAGTTGTGCCTAATGATGGATTTATGCTGCAGGAAAACAATGCAGATATCAATGACGGATCCTCAATTGAGAACGGCAATGAGAAGCAATCGTCCACCAAAAAAACCACTCCTGAAGCATTTGTGTTGTCAGATAGCAAATTTAAGAAAAAGAAAAAGAAGAAAAACAAGGAGAAGTCACAACCAGGAGCTAAGGATAAAGGGAACTCTTGGAATGAGTCATTAGAACAGTTATCAATTGAAGACGATTCTTGTCATCTGGAGCATGTTGCTCCTGATACTGGAAAATATAATCTGAGAAATTTAAATGGCAGAGGAAAAGTGGTCAAGCAGTGTACATCTTCTGTCTTACAAGTGGACCCAAAATTTCTTAATGCAGAAAATGAACTTCGAAGGATATTTGGTTCTAAAGTGGTGAATTCATTCGAAAAAGGTCATCAAACTGGAAGTTCTAGACAGTCAAGAGGTGGAAGACGTGGGAGTCAGAACCATCGAAAGACTATTCTTGTTTGTCCTTTAGAACATTGGCCAAAGTGGGATGGATCACTGTCGATGGAACTTGTGGAAACCAGAGATGGGATATCTGATTTTAGGTAAATGTCATTGCTTTTCTTGATAGTATTGACATGTCAATTTTATATGCTTTTGCTAGTGGAATAGGGGTATTAATGCAGGATGAGGCATAGCCTTGGACTTCCAATTTATTGTGCTAGATAAAACACTATTAGAAACATTTAGACCATATTTTAGAGTAAAGAAAACTAAAAGTTTTCACCATTAACAACATGTTCTTTTTGTAATTTGTCTCTGGATGGTTTATGATAACATATTAAGTAGTATTAGTTTAGCAAATTCTAGGAAATATGTTAACCTTTAAAGTTGACTTGCTACCTGTGTTCCTTGTAATTTTCTTTTGGTTGATATTTTGTCTTATCTTAAAAAATGGATGCAACTTTTTTTAGAAGATGGGCAAAATAAAAAGCAAGGCAAAACCAAAAAAATGGATGTTGTCTTCTATAGTAAATTCCACCACAAAATCTTATGCAAATAATTTGCATAATGGAGTAGCTTAGTCTATTTGTATTTCCTAAACAATCACAATAATTTTGTGTAAGAAATCAAAGCTGCATAATCTAAATGTATGTTAATGCATATATCATTATTTACTTTTTTTCTTTGTCTATAACTTCCATAAATATGATCTCTTTGCATTTATATGCTGCCATTCTGAGTTTTTCTGAGTCTGATTATGCATTGCTTAGTATAAGCTAGTAGAATAGTTATGACCTTGCCTCCGTTGAACATCAAATGAAAAGGGGTTTAAATTGAATACCAACAACAACATGTGCAATGTGAGGGTAGTCTGTACGCAACTTACTCCTGCCTTGTGAAGTTAGAGGGATTATTTCCGATAGAATCTCGAATCAAGTAAAGCATATCAAAATCAGTTGGAAAGGAAATATAATAGATAAAATAGTGAAAATGATGGAGATAAGAAATAGTAGCAACAACAAATAGTACGATAATTGAAGCAAAAGGAAACAATAAATAATGATAAAATTGAAGCATAAGATAGTAGGAGAGTAATAATAATAATACTGGTATCAGCTAGGGGTGTGCAAAACCTGGTTTAGTTGATAAATCAGATTGACAAAATTGTATTGGTTTATCGGTATCGGGTTGGGTTAACAAATTTTAAACAGTTCTGTAATTTTTTATTGGACTACCCAGTGTTTTGGAGAGAGAGAAGTGAAAAAAGGCAACAAGGGCTCGCTTCCTCGAATCGAGAAGCATGAAGAGAAATACTCCCTCTGTCCCTAATTACTTGTCCACTTTTCCTTTTATAGTTGTCCCTAATTACTAGTCCATTTTGACAAATCAAGAAAGAACAATTTTTTTTTACCTATTATACCCTCAATTAAATAACTAATTACTTTGAAAAATGTAGAACTTTTCATCCACTTCATCATAATTAATAAGGGTAAAATGGTAAACTCACTATGTCATTAATTGTTTTCTTAATATGTGTGTCAATTCAAAAGTGGACAAGTAATTAGGGACAGAGGGAGTACATGTTTTTTTCAACTGAAGTGCAATTTAATACAAAAATTTAAAATATTTAATTTTGATAGATGAATAGCCAAGAACTCAATAGAAATAACATATTTAGCAAATCTCTCAGCTCTTAAATTAAAATAAATAATAGATGTAGAACTAGAAATTCAATAATCCTCATGAGTCATAACATATTAAGCAATGGAGCAACATCCTATTCTTCAACAAGAACTCCAAACTATTCAAGTGTCATCATGTTATTATATTGGTCATCATCTTCTTCATCATCATAGGCTTCATCAACTAGGGTTCTTGAACTTGTAGCTACTCTTCCCTCGCTCCTTAAAGTACTCCCCCCTGAACCCTCCTTAACACCACTTGCCATAGCAACATGGTAAATAAGTGAGATCTTCTCCTTCATACACTTCTCCTTCTTTATGATGTTGAGGGGCTCTAGTTAACCATTCATTTGCTTCATCAATATTATCCAAACAAATTGGAATGGTATTGCGAGCATATTCCTCTTTTTAGTATTAATCTGCACATAAGTTGTAGAAAGTAATTAATAGGAGTACTTAGGATAATCGAGATACAGTTTACTTTTGTAATAATGTAATATAGCTTCTCATATGTTCATACACACTCCAAATTCTTTCGCATCCGAATGAGCTACAAGTTAACGTTGGAACTCTAATAGAAAATTGTTGCAAGTTTGGAACTTCATGATCCTATAGCATCCACCAATCAACTGTAGTGGAATTGATTTTGACGTCAACAACTTATAAGTTAAAGCTTTAAAGACTATTAAAACAACTTGAGTACTAAATTGAGCTACATGCCTAGTGTTTCTATTTATCTTATCATCTGAAATACTGTTCTTGAAATAGATTTTAATGTATTATCGTTGACTTATAAGTTAAAGCTTTAAAGACTATTAAAACAACACTGAGTACTAATTTGAGCTACATGCCTAGTGTTTCTATTTATCTTATCATCTGAAATACTGTTCTTGAAATAGATTTTAATGTATTATCTTACCTTATTATTTTTTAAAATATATTTTCATGCTCTCAAAATAATATCCTGCCTACAGATTACTGAATGGCTTTAACTCGTGCAAAACTGTGTACTGCATGAAAGTTCGCCACTTTTTGCTTTTAGTATATTCCAACAACTGGAAAGAGAGCCTATATATGAGTGGCCGATTGAAATAAATGGATTTCAGCATCTTGATTCCTTCGCGTTATGATTAATTAAGTTTTTTGATTATTGTTTAATTCAGGCTAAATTGCTCAACTTACTTTGACCCATGAAACTAAAAACTTTAAGAGTTGAAGCTTCAGCCCTATATCTTTATTTCATTTGATGATACTGCTTCTTGTCTTGGAAGATGGATTTATTGTGTAAAAGTGTAAACTAACTGGATTCATATTGTGTTCCTAGGTATGTACATACATCATCCTATAGCCAAGCCCAGAAAGCATTTGAAAGTGCCAAGGCAGTTCATGATTTTAATGGTATCGTGAACATTCTGTTGCATCATCCGTATCATGTTGATTCACTTATTACATTAGCTGAATATTACAAATTCAGTGGTGAACAGCAAATGTCGGCTGATTGTACTGCAAGATGTCTGTATGCATTGGAATGTGCTTGGCATCCAATGTTCACTCCTTTAATGGGCAACTGTCAACTTAAGTTTAGTTGTGAAATCAACAAACCGTTGTTCTCTGTGCTTTTCTCCCACATGAAAAACATGGATAGACGTGGTTGCCATCGGTCTGCCCTTGAGCTCTGCAAATTGTTGCTTCTACTAGATCCAGACGATCCAATGGGTGTCTTGTTCTGCATTGACTACTATTCTTTAAGAGCGGAGGAGTATACATGGCTTGAACAGTTCTCTGAGCAATATAAGAGTGATAATTCTTTGTGGTTATTTCCAAATTTCTCCTATTCTCTTGCTGTGTGCCGATACTATGTCGAAAATGATGAACATGCTAAAGAGATAAAGGCAGAAGATTTAAAAGCTTCTTCAGCAGATCTTATGAAGCAGGCATTGATGCTACATCCTTCAGTCTTGAAAAAGTTGGTGTCGAAGGTACCTTTAAAGGATAAAGCCTGGACTAGCATAATCAAGCACAATTTCTTTAGCTCTGATCAAACAGGGACACCCTCCTTAGACCACTTGATCAATATATATGTCGAAAGGAGCTACATTATATGGAGGCTTCCTGACCTCCAGAAGTTTCTTAGGGATGCCGCACTTTCGGTGATTGAGACATTGCAGAATGATGGGACTTATGCCAGAGACTGGACATGTGTGAGAAAAGAAGCGTTTTCATCTGAGAAAAATGAGTGAGTACTACCTATCACCCTGCCCTTCTCATCAATGAAACTTTTTTTTTGGTGTTGCTTGTATTCCCCATGTTGCAGTATTTCTTCAGTTCACTACTCATTAACTGTCTGTCTACACATACCTTTCATGCATGTGGGGCTTAAAATTTGTCTTTCTACTATTGCCAGGTATTCTCACTTGCTGGTATCAGATTTCTCTGATTCAGTTCAGACTTTGCCTCCTGATAACTTGCAAAATTTCATGGTTGACCCGAGGGGAGAAGTGCCAAATGATGCACAGCCTGCAAACCACCGTCTCCAAGATCTGACAGATCGAAATGCAATTGCTGTCTTGCTCGAGTCTATGTTACCATGGATGAACTACGGTTCAGGCCATGATCAGCCTGATCATGATGAACAGGGCAATGAAGGATAGTGTTCTTTCAGTGAGGTATTAATTTCATTTAAATTGGTATTTGGCATTGCTTCGCGCAAGCATAGTTGTCTTTTATATCCAACTTATATAGTGATACTTTTTTCCGGGGCAAGTTCTGTATATCGTTGAATTTCCCTTCTCTCTCCACTCCCCACCCATAGTTTGATGCTTCGAGTATTTAAGAGTATGATTCGAATATTACTGCTCGAGGCTTGAGCTTTATAGTGAGTAACTGTACAAGTCTTCCAGTAAATTTTATGGGGTGGTTAGTTTTGATTTGGTTTGATCATAATTGGAGCTGCAAACTTAAAGAACATTTTGTTTAACAACATAGATAAATCATATTAACCAGTCATGACTTGTGAATAATTTAACAATACCAAATAAAAAGTAAATTAATTATAAACTTAATCTTGGAATATCTCACCTTATTCCTATATCGAACAACTTTGTTCAAAATTTAAAGCTGTTCGAGATATACGTACAATTTTTGTATGTTTTATTATCAGTAACCCCCTTCTCCATTTTTTTTATTTTATTTGTATTCATTTCATATTTTATAGTTGTACTATCCTTTACAGGAAGATACATATGTTTGGTACGAAGGAAAATATTTTATGGATATTGTTTTTAAATTTTTTCCAGGTTTAAATGTTTTTCAAATCAACTCATTTTATTAAGGAAAATGACTTCCCTTCAAAAGTTAAGAAAAACATTTTTCGAAAATTTACTTCATCCTTCAATATTTTTCTTACCCTACCCCATACCCCGAACCTGACCTCCCTGTCAAAACAAAAAATTAAAATTTTTAAGTTTTCTTATATTTTAAGTTTCAAATATATTTTAACCCCTATCCTCTACCCTCAAATATGCCTCCCCCCGCTCCACCAAACAAAAAATTAAAAATTACTTTAGAAAAATATTTCAAATTTTAAGTTTTTTTTTACCTCCTACTCCACCCCACACCCTGACCCTCTGCACCCCCCCCGCCCCCTCCGTCAATTTTTTTTTTCCTTAAAAAAATTGTTTTTGAAAAATAATTTCCTGGGTCATGTCCTGAGTCAAAAGTCTAGGTCAGGTCATGGGTTAGATCTCAGGATCGAATTTTGGTGATCGGTGTCTTGTCCTAGTTTGGGTTTGATGGTCGGGTAAAATTATTTTTCTAAAGAGTATTTTCTAGTCTCAAGCCAAAAATAAAAGATATTTTCCATTCATCAACTAAACATTAAAAATATTTTCTATTCACCAACCAAATATGAAAAAATAAGTTAGAAATCCACTTGGTTTATAAGAAAAACATTTTCCCGTTTATACCAAACACACCCTCTGTCATTTTAAAACTTATGAATTCTCGAAAAGAAAAAGCTCATCTGTCAAACATTTTAGCTGGATCATTCACCAAACTACAATAATTATAGTCTTTAGTAAATACAATGTGATATTTTGCTCGGACAAGTATCCTACATTGAGATGTTGTTGCCTTTTCAATTGAGATGGAACAATGCTTCAAATCAAACTCAATAATATCAAGGTATATTATCTCTTGCTTCGATTGACGGGGTAAGAAATTGTAAGTGGAAATTGAATCTTCACCAACAAAGATGCTATTTAGAATGTGACATTTTGCTCAGACATGTATCAATTTTATCTAGCAACGAATTTGCAACATATTATTGAAATGTTTTTGAATAGATCTAGAAGTAACTGAACGATAGATTAGCGATGGAATTTATCATCAATTTCATTTTTTTTTAGTGGTTCACTTATAAGAAGTTGATACACAAAAGCATTCTGTGTTTGTAAGATCCGAAAATGACCACACAACAACTTGCTGGTAAGCTTACATTATTAAACATAAAAGTTTAGGACAACTAATTAAGTAGAATCATATACTAGTAGACAACCAATAAACACTTGATAGTTGAATAAAACAGCAAATAATTTATGTCCAACTCATAGATTATTTAAAGCTACTTAAGACAAAAGGGTTGACAATACGATAATTGGATTGGTATCAAAGTCTTGTAGAACAAAGATTTTTGCACATGGAAAAAATAACAGATATGCAATAATTCACTATCAGTGATTATATAACTAAAAATAATATAAGAAGAATAAGCTTATGTAATATCACACCTAATATATATTTATTAGGTTGATATCAAGATGAGAAAATGACAAAAAATGTCTTTGTTGCTCGTGGGTAACTTTAAAATAATCTCACAATTTGGATCTTTTAACTTCAAGAAAAGTTAAATACTTTTAGTTCTAATCAAATTTTTATCAAACTTGATTTGTTAGATTTGCGGGAAATCATGAAGAAGTAGAAGAAGAAATTGGTGGGAGCTGATAACTACACATATTGGACTCATTAGGCAAATTACTTATTTAAATTGAACTCAACCCAAAATATTTACTTTGATTGGATCCACGACTCAAACTATTTATTCGACTGTCCCTTGTTCTATTCATTGAACCATTGTTTCTTCATCCTTGATATTATCGGAGTATATATACTCTCTGATGGTATCAAACAATAATTGAGTAATGTTTTCACTGAAACACCCTTCTTCCTCTTTGATACGACCAGAGTACATATATACTTTGATGGTATCAAGCAGTAAAACAACCATTTATAAATAGTTTTCTTTTTGGGGACACGTGTTCTTTTCCCTTTTAAAATTTGATGAGATTTTCTTGATATTTAGGATATTTTTTTTTTACTATTCTTGTTAAATTTAACAAACAAAGTTCGATATATATATTTAGCAGAAATAAAAAGTATTAATCTTTGAGAAAGTTTAAAAAATATATTTTGAATCTATGACCTCAAACAGAAGGGACCATTTCTGTCATTTTCTCATATATATAAAGACTGGATCTGAATAAATTATTTTGGAAGATTGACCAACTCATATAAAGTTGTAGGCTTTAAGATTAACGAACTAATTGCTTATTTTACTCTCTCTTTGTTTGTATACTTTGTTTGTGTTCTTTTTATTTTATTTTATTGGTTGATGATCTGTGCTTTTAACAACACCCTGTCACCTATCTGGATGATGCAATGTTCCACAACTTGTTTGATTGCTTTAGACTAGATAAGAGAGATGTATCAGAGAAGGGGATTAGAATGTATAGCGAGAGAGGAGAGTAATATATCTGAGAGGAGATTTTTGAATTTTTTTAAATTGTAGGGAATTTTAGAGATTATGATAAAATAAAATGTGTATTTAGGTAATTTTTTCTTTTATATATATAAATATAAGGGAAAATTACGCGTATAAGCAAACATATACTAGTTAATTACTTAACATAGATATAGTTTGCCTTAATTACAATTTGTGACCTACTTTTAGCTATAATTACGCTGCTTAGCTTTTTAGTTTTGTATAATTCACATTTTTGTATAATTCGGAATTTGTACAATATAATTTGTATAACTTTTGTATAATGCAGAATTTGTATAATAAAGTTTGTATAACTGTTTACATTTCTGATGTTTGTAGTTGTATAAATTCGTTATTTCGGGTTTGTACAAAAATAACTGAATTATACAAATGTATCGTGAATTATATAAACCTGTGAATTATACAAATCCGCGAATTATATAAGCGAGGCAGCTTAAACTATAGCTACAACCTGTAAATATGCAAACTATAGCTATGGAACATAATTAAATTTATTATAATGACTATTTGCGAAAGTTCCTCTATATAAGGATTTGTATTTTATATTAAGCAAGTCTTTTGTCATTTACAAAGAAAGGAGCGGCATCTATATTTCCGAGTAATTCTAACTTTATTTAAAAGCAGAATTTGACATTTATATCACGCAATAAACAAAAATATTTTTTGTCTATGAATTTTACCTTTTCTTGAGAACTATTTTCTTTGTCCATTTTTAATTGTAGTAGTTTTCTTTTTTAGAGTTAAATTATAGAAACTTTGATTACTATTTTACGATGCATTTTTCATCGTATTGATATGCAACTTATAGTACTTTTCGTATAGTTTTTAATATCTATATTTTTTTTCTTAAAATATCGAATTAATGTAATTTAATTTAGCTTGGAAAATTAGTCAACCTGACTTTCGAAAAGCGTAATATGACAATTAAAAGTGGACAGAGAGGGAGTATGATAAAGTAAACCATGTTCCAATAGAATAAAATTAACCATATATATCGAGTACTAACTCAAATAAATTAATTAGTCAAACTAGTTGAAAAATTCAAACACAACAGGTAGATATCCCATGGAATCTTTAGTAGTTACAAATTTACCGATAATATAAAATATCATCTTAAACATGTTTCTTGACTAGATAAGGTAAATTTTATAAATAGTTAATCACAAATTCTCAATATTTAATCTTATCACTTTATTACTTGGAATCGTGTTTATTTTATTTATATGTTGTGAGAGTAACAACTAACAACAATCATGTAAGTGATACACTTTTATGAAAAATTGTCGACTATAGAAGAATCTTTTTATCTCTTTCTTTTTCCTTTTTTTTTTCAAACTTTACATGCTCCTTTTATGGTACAGCTTGAATATTGGGACTTGGGAGTTTTATCTTGCTCTTGGGAATAAAGGTGTATGCACACTGCAACAAATAAATGATTATGTGGTAATTATTTAGCGATAATAATATAATTTTTCTTTTTGTATGAGTATTTAGAATTAAAACTTTATAAAATTAGTGTCGCTAAAAGCTTTAACAATTTTGAAAGATATCAAGTCAATTATTGGTAAAAGAATCTACTTCAATTTATTTTATTTTTTTAAACTTTTATGATCAAATTAATCAATTTTTACTTTCTAGAATTTAATTGGTGAGTTTTAAAATTGTTCGATAATAAAGTAAATTCAAAATACAAATATGTTATAGTAATAACAACATAATCAATATATAAAGGATTGAGAAAGGTGATGTGTGTACGGACCTTATCTCTGTCTTCATAGAATAAAAAAATTATTTTCGATAGAACTTCTAGAAAATATTTTCAATCAAAATTGTTTTGTAGATAGTATATTTTGGCAATCGAGCATATAACATACAAGTTGAATATCTATAAAATAGTAATGAAATACTCATATTAATCATTGATTCAAAAAGTATGTAAAATTCAAAGTAAACAAATAAAAATAAACGAAAAAACAAAAAATATAGATGAAGTCCAGAAATTTTTTTCATGAACCTCACTGAAATGTGAATGATCTTAAACATACCTGTTAACAACATTGTATATTTGCTTAAAATCATTCACATTTATTAAATAGTAATTAGTTAAAAACTCTGATTAGTTAGCA